CAGTAAAGCATACTAAAAAATGGCATATATTTTAATCATGATTAATTACTGACAAGTATCACTGGCCAGAAAGCTCAGGATCTAGCCAAGTTACATAAACATACTTAGGTACTGAAGGAACTAGCCTAGCTTTCAAAATGTTAAACTTCCAGTAACTTCTATTAACTCCACCACAAGAACCCAGATGTGCATTGTTTTTTGACTTCTTCTTTTGCTTAGCATGTGGGATTCTGCAAGGCAAGAATTATCAGTGGTTCAGAAGAACCTGATGGAACAGATATAAGCTGTGAAATCTACCATCCCTGGGTATGTATTCACTTACTGAAATGTCTCTGGTTATACCCTCATGCAGGCTACATAATCATCTGTTAGTCCAGACTGACAGATGATTGGAACAACTGTTATGTCCCTTTATTATTGCCTGGGTGTGATGCAGCATGTCAGGACAGGCTGGCTTTTGACTGCTAGGTCAATCAGTGAATGAATTAGAACTGAGTTATCCCTACTACTCGCTCCAAGGGTGTCTCCTCCTAGTCCAATCGTACTCCTCAGTTAAAGTGAATAGAGATTGACAAACAAGTTCGGAGGAACTTTAGAAAGCAAGAGGAGGGGAGCTGCTCTTTACCCTACTTGGCACTCCAGTTTATATTACGACAGCTACTCCAATGTGGGGTTTATTTTGTTTTGATACATCACAAATTTTGCTTATTTTGCTCATTTCGCTCATTTCATTTTGTTATGGTGTAGTATTTCCAGACAATTTTCAGTAATTTAGCATTTTATCATCTACTCCTTCTCTTCTATCCTGAAAAAAATGCAGAGTTTGGTTTGGGGGTTTGGGGGTTCACCAGATCCATAAATGCAAACCTACTACCTCTCACTTCTGTCTCTTTCTCTGTCCTATTAACATCTTAATACTTCCTCCCCTGGTGTTTTTACAAACAGAAGCATGGCTATGGGAAAAGATGCAGATATTCAGCTCTGGGACAACTGCACAGACATCCCCATCATCATTTTGGCCACAGACATCATCACAGGCATGGATGTCCACCCTCTTCTCAGTCCAGACCCGAAGACGCTGAGCATGACCACAGTTTCAATGAAGAACATCAAGACAGCCATGAAGAAGCTGCTCTTCCTCCCCCCCATGATGGACCACATCACCACCTTCACCCTCCACACCACTGTCCTCCACCTCCTCCCCACGGTGGACCACATCATCCGCCTCCTCCTCACCATGATGAACCACATCCTCCTCCCCAAGAAGAATCACAACATTCCCCTTCTGTTCCTCCTCCTGATGATGCACCACATCCTCCTCCTCCTGGTCCCCATCATGGACCACACTGTCCTCCTCCTCCTCATGGACCACATCACCACCATCCTCCTCCCCACCACGGACCACATTGTCCTCCTCCTCCTCCTCATGGACCACATCACCACCATCCTCCTCCCCACCATGGACCACATTGTCCTCCTCCTCCTCATGGACCACATCACCACCATCCTCCTCCCCATCATGGACCACACTGCCCTCCCCCTCCTCATGGACCACATCACCACCATCCTCCTCCCCATCATGGACCACACTGCCCTCCCCCTCCTCACGGACCACACTGTCCTCCCCCCCCTCATGGGCCACATCACCACCATCCTCCTCCACCCCATCATGGACCACATCACCCTCCTCATTTCCATGATCACCATTATAGACATCACTGCAACAAGACAAACATGTCAGGAAAGTATATTCCATTCCAAATAACAGAAGCTCTCTATCGCATTCCAGTTCTAAATCAGCGGGATTCTCTCACACCTCCCACTGCAAACTTTCTTCATCTATTCCAAAGCAGCCCTCATTCTGGTGAAGGTATTCCCTTCACTAGCTCAAGTCTCAAGGAGATGCCAGAAGCTCCAGGTTTTCTAGATCAACTTACACAATCAAAGTCATGCCCAGGAATGCCCAAACTTGTTCTTCCAAAAATTTTGCCTTTATTTCCACATAGCTCCATGGCAGAAAAATCTGCATGACCCCAGAGAGTCTGGGTCTCCTGGCTTGAGAGTTGCAGGGCCAATGACAGCTGTACAGTGAATGAAAACACCATGTGGAGAAGGGGGAAAAGGATATAATTTCTAAGAAGCAGCACAAAAACTAATGCTTACGTATTCCAACCTGCCTCTTGATCCCATCTATCTCAGACTCCACTGTAACTGAAAGGCTCTAAATTCTGAGTCCCTCAGATAGTGTGAATGGGTACAAATCTCCCCAGCAAACAATATTCCTTTAGTTCTAACAAAAAAGAAGATTTCCTAATAGTCAAAACTACTATGTAAAATCTTTCATTTTCTCATAATTCATAATCATAATGTACTTCTCTGAGGAAACCTGACTCAAGGAAATCTGACCAATATCCATAAAAAATGATCCATAGCACTACACTCATGCTTTATAAAAATTCAAAGAAAATAAAAATATGTATGCTTTCTTTTTTTCTTGACATGGTTGCCAAAATTTTGTCCTTTTTGTTACTATGTAAGTTTAGCTGCACAGTAAATATCCATGAGGCATACTCTAAGATATACTGATCAATAGTGGTTGGGTTCCCAACATTATTTAGAAAAGATCTGAGAATAGTTAATAACTTGGAGTTTAACACAGTAGGGTGGCCTGCTACATTGGTACAGTTACAGGTGGTGATATGCCAGAAATACTGCATTCAAGGACAGCCCTTTTCAAACAGTTCATAATTGCTCTCAGAAGAGGAGAAAAGAAAATGCATGTAATAACTATTTCATGTAAATGTTTTCACTGAACCTTCCTCATTGGAAACGGAGCTCGGAGGAGCAGGAAGAAAGAATACTCGTGTCTCTATGAATTGTAGCCCCCATCAAATTAAAGTCCATTCACACACACCTGGAATGTCAATGAGTTAGTTCAGAATGGTTATCTCATAAGAAAGAACATGGGATTAATCTTAAAAAATTAGTTATTTGGTCCTCAAAGTAGATTTTTAATAGCATAAAGTAAAACACAGCATGAGGGCTATGCTGGAGAAAAAAGAAACAAAATGGGAAAACAGCATTTTGTGTAACTAAATGGAGGTTGTCTAATTTTTAAAAGTGCATTACCATGTATGAACAACCTTATTTCTTGCATAGTTTATCCACAAAGCCTCTAAACTGCATTTTCTTTAAGCAAAACTTGTAGCAAATGGGGCTAGTTGACCCCAGCTGGACTCCACCACTCCCCTCTTCAGCTAGACAGGGGAGAGAAAATATAACCAAAGGCTCATGGGTCGAGATAAGGACAGGGAGAGATCACTCAGCAATTACTGTCAAGGGCAGACTTGACTTGGAGAAATTAGTCAAATCAAATCAGAGTAGGATAATGAGAAATAAAACTGCATCTTAAAATCACCTTCCACCCATCTCTCCCTTCTTCCTAGGCTGAACTTTACTCCCAAATTCTCTACCTCCTCCCATCCCAGCGGTGCAGGGGAACAGTGAATGGGGGTTGTGGTCACAGAATCACACATTGTCTCTGCCATTCTTTCCTCCCCAGGGGAGAACTCCTCACACTCTTCCCCTGCTCCACAATGGGGTCCCTCCCACAGGAGACAATCCTCCACTAACTTCTCCACCATGAGTCCTTCTCATAGGCTGCCGTTCCTAATGAACTGCTCCAGTGCAGGTCACTTCTGCAGAGTGCAGTCCTTCAGGAACAGACTGCTCCAGCATGGGTCCCTGCTGGGTCACAAGCCCTACCAGAAAACCTACTCCAGTGTGAGCTCCTCTCTCCATGGGGTCACAGGTCCTGCCAGGATTCTGCTCCAGCACAGGCTTCTCACAAGGTCTCAACCTCCTTTGAGCATACCCCTGCTCCGCCGCGGACCTCCATGGGCTACAGGGAGACAGCCTGCTTCACCACAGGCCACCCCATGGGCTGCAGAGGTTTCTCTGTTCCAACACCTGGAGCACCTCCTTCACTGATCTTCCTATCTGCATGGCTGTTTCTCTCTCATATTTTCACTCCCCTCTCCAGCTGAAGTTGCTATTGTGCAGTTCCCCCCGCCCCCTTCTTAATATGTTATCCCAGAGGCGCTACCATTTGCTGAATGGCTCAGCCTTGGCCAGCAGCAGCTCCGTTTTGGAGCTGTCTGGCATCGGCTCTATTGGACATGGGGGAAACTTATAGCAGCTTCTCACAAAAGCCACACTTGTACAACCCCACTACCAAAACCTTGCCATGCAAACTCAATACAGCAAGATACAACTAGAACAATGGAGCTGAGGCAATCCTAAAGCATTCACAGATTTAAAGCAAAGCTATTTGGTACTCAGCACTGGAGATAAGCACCAGATGTTCCCAGCCAACTCTGATTCTGGCTCTGACAGACACAGGCAACATTACTTAATCACTTGTTCTTGGGCATCACTTTCCCTACCTGTAATGGTAACAAAAAATTCTGAAGACTAATCCATGGTCCAAAGGTAGCTGTCATACGGCAGCAAGGATGGACCCTTCCAAGAGTAGCATGAAGGACAAGGTTTATCAAGTGTCATTGAAGAGTTACGCGCTATTCAACGATACGCATCTGTCCAAAGGCTTTTTCAAACATGTTCTGACTTCTCAGAACTATTGCAGTCTGAACACTAAACAGATCTATAAAATTTACAGGGTTGTTGTCCAGAACCAGAACTTCATTGCTACTGTGACCTTCTTGGGTTTTTCATTTAAGCCTTCAAAAATAGATTCTCAGTAGCAGTTTAGACTTTAAGAAGCTAGAGACCTACAAACATTCTGCTTTCTCTTTTGCCCAGGGGCCATCCTACTTAGTCTAATCCTGTCCCCAACTACAGACATTTAGCCTGTTATTTTGATGGCAGGTGGATAACCCTAGTGTCATTCTGGTGACCACATAAAGTTTATTTAGATAAACTCAGAAGTTTATTTGCAGTATAAACAGGGTATGATGAAAACCAACCAACCCCAGCAGCCCATTCATTCTGTTTACTTAGCTGTAGCTCCTGAAAAACAGGAGAGGTGACTAAAACCCTGTCAAGCATTCCTTTTCCATTTGGTTTTTAAAGAGCCTTCTAATTCAGAGGGGGCACTTTTTTTTAAATCTAATTATGATCTATCTTATTGTACTAGCACTCTGCTGTAGCTTTTTCTCTAGCAGAGCCACCCCTCTTCTATATGAGTTTTTGGACTGTGATGATCCTGATGTCTTTCAAGCTGTTGACACAGCACTGAAGAAATACAACGGAGACATAGCAACTGGTAATCAATTTGCTCTGCACATGGTGATGGAAGCCAAGAGAACTGTAAGTAGACTTTGAAAGAAAAAAAAAAAGAGGATTGAATTGTTCATGCACTCTGAATCAGATTCTCTCTCTCTCCTTCATAAGAAAGTAAGCATGACAGCAAAGCATATTCCAGAACGTTTACAAAAACCCAAAGAAATTACTTGCACAGTAAGATACTCACTACTGTGACAAGGAACATCTATTATGTTCTTATCAACAGAACTATGTGTGCTGGTGAACTGCTTATTAATTCAGGGACTAAAGAATAGAACATTTCTACCACTAATACAGTTTGTGTCTTACTAGTCCACTCTCAATTCTCCTTTCTGCGCTGGGAATCCTATCCCTTTCCATCATCAGTAAGGTTGTCAGATCAATGGCAAAACCATACTTTCTAAAAAATGTGAGTATTATCTTGATTTGAGAAGAGCTGGTAGCACATATGAAGAAGAAAGACCTCATAAAATTTGGCAATACAGGGAATAAATTACTTGTGACTATTATTTGATTGACACTAGTCCCGAGTCACAGATCGATGTAAAAGCGCTAGGTAGCAGTTTAGACAGATAGGGTGACAGCTAAAATTACAGAAGAAAAAAAGAATGAAACATGATCCTTTTGCCTGGAGTCCTTCTGCATAGTGTTAATCTAACAAAAGAGTATTTACCTCTGAGAGGCATACAAAGAAGACATTACCATAATAATGACAAGCATTACTTTACTTGAAAACATCATTAGCATTTTCTTTCTATTGGATTGGATTTTCAGATGTAAAACATAAGAAACCCAGTGTCGGAGAGAATATTTTGCACTACAAAATCACAAGACACTTTTACCCAGAAAAGGGACATGAATTGCTAAATGCTTTAGAGTAAACTACTTACATCCCATGGCACCTACCCTCCGATTTTCCTGTTTTCAAACTGGGGAGATTTTATCATGTAGTGACAAAGACTGAAATCTGGCAAACACTTTATGCAACTAATATTAAACAAACGAATAGTCTCACTGTCTTCATTGAACAACACACATCTTTAACAACAGCCAAATGCAAATATCATTATATCATAGCTGTAACATCACCTTCCTTTTGCTGATAGTCCCAAAGGACAGGTATTAGTTTCAGTATTTTATCTTAAACAATGTTCTGTTTTTAAGAACATGTTTATTGCAATTATTATTTATCTTTCTCTAGATATCCATCTTTCCTTTCCTTAAAAGATCTGAGATGGAAATCAGTTATTACTTTGAATCATTGATCTGACTATGCTGTTAAATTAAAAAAAGGAATCTGCAATAGAGATTTCCTCATATTCGTTATTCTTTTTCTAAAAAGAGTATAGACTTTGCTCATCGTTAGTCTCACAATGTTGAATGCATTAATTAAATAGCTGGCTATTACATATTCATGTACATTCATTATTGATAAGGTAATAAAACATAAAAGCTGACTGGTGAAAGACTGAACCTGCCCCAGTTAAAGGCATAGCTATTCATTATAATAATGAAATAGACCAACAACAAATACAGAAACAATGTCTTTTCTCACTTCTTTCATTTACTCACTGAGTTGATTTACTGCAGACTTAGAACACTGTAACAGAAAACAGAATTCAGCTCTTTTTAAATCCACATTCCCAATAATATAATCTGATGCAGCTCCATAAACGTTAATTTATACCTGCTGAGGATTAAGTCCATTACATTTTTAGAGACTCTTTCATCCTGTTTTACAACTTTCAACCATTATATCAGGTACCTCTACACTTCTGTAGTTGTAGCAATACTCAACAGAAAATGAGAGAACACAGAATCTAGTTCTGTGTCTATACAAGTGTAAATCCAGTATGTTCCACTTCCATCACCTCAGCTTCACTTTCTTGATACCACTAAGGCAAGAATTATAATTTATTCTCCAGCAGTATCATTTGAGAATAACTGGTGTTAAAGTCCAGCAGCTGCCTGTGTTTGTACTAGATAAAGCACGTTGGAAGAGCAGCTTTAGTGGCTGCGAAAGTAGTAATTTCCAGCTTTACATTTCCTCTAAAGGATTAACCACAAACCTTGCATCATGTTAATGTTACCTGTAGGCACGGTCTCACTACTCAGTTTATGTCAAGGAGAAATTGCCCCTCCTAATTTACCAAAATCAGAAACCAATCCAGAGGCCAGGCCTAACTTCACTTAATGCTTTGTCTGTGTTTTCTCTTATGGATGAAATATCATAATATATTTACCTATATAATCTACCCTCATGAGCAGCACAGATTTCAATGCCTAGAGGAAAACTGCAGGCACTGCCAAAGGCTGTCTCCAGAGCATATGGTCTCCTCACCCCTTTCCACCAAGCAGGCAAGGCAGCCGACATACCCTGTTACTATAGTGTAAAGGCAGTTTGGGCACAGCCAGCCTGCCTGAGGGTTGCTGGCTGCTGTTTCTGGACTGCCTATAGAATTGTATAGAAGTAAAGTAGACAGATCTGGGAGAAGCCCAAGAGTAAGACTGAAGGAGTCAGGCAGGAGCACAGTCCAAGCTGGTAATTATGCTAACGATTTGAGCAGCAACCCAAATTTGCTTATTTGGAGTACTCAATATGAGTATGAATATACTCATATTGAGTATGAATATAACTACTTATTTCTGGTTTTAAAAATCTTGGTACTATAATTTAAAATGAAGGTGGCTGAGCATACTGCATCTATTGTGTCAACATATTACCTACCTTTGTAAGTAAGGGCTCATTAATATAATTAGATAAGTTAATTGCTGAACTATGAAGACTTGGGAGACCTTGTATGGAGACCAGCAGCTAATCTGAGACCGTACTATAAAATGGATAGTATTTACCTTTTGAAGCTCTTATCTTTTCACCTAATCTATCACTACACAAACAATGACATGCATATTTTCATCCAGGCAGGTCCTGAAGCACAGTTCTATGTGAAATACCGAATACAAGAAACCACTTGTGCCACTGATGAAAACAAACTCTGGCAAGATTGTGATTACAAAGTATCTGCAGAGGCTGTAAGTATCTGTTCTCTTTAAAAGTCGTCTGTATAGAAACATCAGCATAATAACCACGACTGCAGTTGCTTGGGGAAAAATACAGCAGAGAATTTAAATTTTTTTAGCTGTGTTGCTTTTGAGAGGATTAAAGTACAATACAGAAATGCTTACAACATTAAAATTAACCATTATAAAATGAATTTACCATTATAATCCTGAATATGTACAGAAGGGAACATTTCAGTGCTTCAATAGGAAGGTTCACCATAAATTCAACATAACATACACGGAAGGGCTATAAAACTTTCTGTTAATTATGCATAATAGAAACTTGCACAACCAAATTTACTTCAGATCTGCACCACCAAAAATACTCTCATGGAAGCCACTATGGCAGAAGATTTACAGAGGACTTTTAGCAGTATAAAGCATGTCTGGCTCATGCTGCTAGAGGACACCTAGAGGAAATACAATTGGGGCACACATAGTGGGCACGAACGCTGCATATATCCAGTGGAAGTCACTGTTACTTCCCACACTACACAATGCAAAAAAAGGGATGGTTGTGATACCATACAAATCAACGTGAAATGCCATGGTCATTGAGGCATATCTTGTCCTAGCAGTGTGGAAATGATATAAATACAAAATTTATACAGACTTCATTTATGAGGATGTGTTCAGTTCCATTATTCTGACTGCAAATTCTTTAGTTAATTAGCATGCATCAATCATGATACAAAGCAATCTTTCAAACTATCTGCTCAGTTCATCCCCTACTCTCCTCGCAAACAAAACTGTTCTTTTTGGGTAACAAACCAGCAAATTAGATATTACTGCAAGTGTACATATGAACTTGTTCTCCAAACTCAATATGCAACTGTCAACTTTATTCAACAGCTACAAGAATATATAATATTGCCTTTTTCTTCAGCAAGTTTAAGACAAATGTTATCATATATTTTTGCAGAAAACAGGAGAATGCACAGCTCAGGTTCACATGAATAATGCTGAAAAAACAAGTAATGTTTCACAAGACTGCAAAATATTTCCAGGTATGGAACTGTTTGGGGCAGCATTCAGCAAGTACATTGACAAATAAGAATAGGAAATATATAATACCGCAACTTTCAGGTAATTTTAAAGATAGGAGCTCCTTATTGTTCTATTCAGACATTTATAAATAATCATCCTTAAGCAACGACATGTTAAAGACAAAATTTCACTTCACTATTATGCACATATAGACTAAGTCAATGAAGCACTGTCAGTGTCTCTCCAGGGTAATGAAAACCAGCGCATGCAGGCGTAGTAAGTTTCTTCAAACACTGGAATTATACCAAGTTACAATGAATTTGCTTAAGATCAAAACATATCAGTAACTTAGAGACTAGATACCACTTCTCATGCTTTAAATTTTGTCTTTATTTATTCAAGTATAAAATTGAGCCAGAAATTATTAGGAAAAAAACTATATTACAAAATTGCATCTTAATTTTCTCCAAACTAAAAAGTATTAATTATTTCTGTTTGCACACTAAAAGAACACTTACCCTCATAAAAAAAAAGAAAAAAATAATTTACAAAATAAAAATCTAGCAATGATGTAATTATGTATAAGAAACTGTGATATCTTTTAGACCTTAGCAATAAGCAGTACTACATTTCTTGCCTGCAAGACATTCATATATGACTATGTTCACATAGTAATTTCCTGTATTACAAAGAGATCACTGCTTTAAAGCTTTACAACTGAGATCTCTATGTGCTTATGCCCCGCGTTCATGTAAGACATATATCCAAGATAGTTTTAAACTAACCGGTAGCTGGGAGCTTGCAGTTTTTTGTTCCTAATTACGTTGTTTAAAGCTAAATGTCTATACCTACAGCCAGTGTCATTCTAGGAACTGCAGTACACACAAAATCCATGTTCTGCTACAGAATAAACATCACTTGGTTTAGATGCATTTGTGGGGCAATGGTGACATCTAGTTGCCAGTAGAAGGTGTGTGAATCCCACAGAGAATGCATGGGAAGGAAATTTGCATTTGAATCTTTGCTTAGAAAACTAATAAAACATACATAAATGAATTATCTATTCAGCCTAAGAAGCTCATCTCCTTTTAGCAAGTCAGCAATTCTGAAAAAAGAATACACGTTTGTTCAGCACTTATGAAAATGTTGGTACCATAGTCACTTTATGTTCTATTATCTACTTTGTGATTACTCCTTGGAAACATGGTCATATTTTTCTGTAACATGCATATATTTGTCAGTCAAGAAAAGTGATGGTAAAAACACAAAGGGCAGGACCTCACTCAAGTACCCCTTGGAGAGCTAACACTAAATAGTATTGCTTACACTGAGATATTCACAATGTACAGAAGAGACAAATCAAATCTGAAGGATTAAAATGGAAAGAGTAAAACAATAGATCCTATCTGGGGAGGGATTTCCCCACCATGTCAGGTAGCAGCCTTCTTTGTAGAACAGTTTATTCATACTGACTCTGGACTGGTTTCTGGCTGGTGGAAGCTGGCTTACCTCCATTAAAACCAGTTTAAGCCAGCTAAGGATAAGGTACACAAATTTTACTTCAATTCCATAGAGACCACATATTGTCCCACTTTCATTCTCAAGCTCACTGAATCATGAAATTAATTTATGTACTGAACTATAAAATTAATTTATGAAAACCCAATCCATGATTACTAGAAAGAGAAGTAATAGGATTAGGAGTAGGAAACAGAAGTTTGAGCACCCCCATCAAGCTTGTCTATGCACAGACAATCCAGTTGGTTAGTCCTGAAGGTAACACCAAGTGGTAACTGGCAGCCACAGTGACTAGCAGGGGTTTCAAACAGCACAGCAGTAAAATAGTTACAGTCCCGAAGGAGCTCAAAGTCAGAGCAGTTCATCATGGGTGAGCCAAAACACACGTGCCAAAGTCCCCACCCTGAAACATGGTGAGGACAGGAAGCAGCTGCCTGTAGTAGCTGAGCTTTGAAAAATCTGAAAGAACATCTCTTAAGCTGTAGCCTCCAGTGGCTCTAGCCTGACTGAATGAGTGATGATCCTTCCTGGGTGGTGTCAGGTTCGGAGATTCAATGACTCCTGAACTCACCCACCCCTCTGACTGAAGTTTGCTGCTGAAACCATGCCTGGATCCAAATGTCATGGATGCACCCCACCACCACAAACAAAAACATGATGCAGTGAATGCCTTTGCAGGCCCTGAAACTGAAATGTGAGTTTTAGAATCATAGAATCATAGAACAGTTAGGGTTGGAAAGGACCTTAAGATCATTTAGTTCCAGCCCCCCTGCCGTGGGCAGAGACACCTTACGCTAAATCATATCACCCAAGGCCTCGTCCAACCTGGTCTTGAACACTGCCAGGGATGGAGCATTCACAGCCTCCCTGGGCAACCCATTCCAGTGTCTCACCACCCTAACAGGGAAGAATTTCCTTCTTATATCCAACCTAAACTTCCCCTGTTTAAGTTTTAACCTGTTACCCCTTGTCCTATCACTACAGTCTCTAATGAAGAGTCCCTCTCCAGCATCCCTATAGCCCCCCTTCAGATACTGGAAGGCTGCTATGAGGTTTCCACACAGCCTTCTCTTCCCCAGGATGAACAGCCCCAACTTCCTCAGCCTATCTTCATAAGGGAGGTGCTCCAGTCGCCTGATCATCCTCGTGGCCCTTCTCTGGACTTGTTCCAACAGTTCCATGTCCTTTTTATGTTGAGGACACCAGAACTGCACACAATACTCCAAGTGAGGTCTCAGGAGAGCAGAGTAGAGGGGCAGGATCACCTCCTTCAACCTGCTGGTCACAGTCCTTTTGATGCAGCCCAGGATACAGTTGGCTTTCTGGGCTGCAAGTGCACACTGCCTGCTCATGTTCATTTTCTCATCAACCAACACCCCCAAGTCCTTCTCCGCAGGGCTGCTCTGAATCTCTTCTCTGCCCAACCTGTAGCTGTGCCTGGTTTTGCTCCTCCCAGTTAAATGCAGGAAAGGCTCTAGCTCATTGAGCCTTTTCTCTCATTCCCACATAGGAAAAATTAAAACCTGGGGCTGTTTTACATGAAGTCCTTTTTTTTTTCCTTTTTGTTTTGTTTTGCAGCTACGCCAAAGATAACACTTACTCAGGCTACATGTCTTGGATGCTTTCATCCTATATCAAGTGACAGTTCAGTAGTGTTGGAAATTCTGAAACAAGCCATTCAGAAGTTTAACAAGCATAGTGGTGAACCTGCCCTTTTTAAGCTTGTGGAAATAAAAGAAGCTACAAGACAGGTTTGTGTACGATTTTTCTCTAAATTTTACCAAAAAAAACCCCACAAAACTCCAGACCCTGATTGTTTTATGTACATGTTTCTGATTTTTAAGTTAGTTTATAATTCATAATAAAAGTATACAAAATACATATAGAGTAGATCCTGTAAATAATTCTCTTCATTTATAAGAAATCATAAATTGTTACCTACTGGATTTTCAAAGCTTTTAACTTTACGAACTGATGGAAAACATACTTTGTCTGCAGTTCCATCTAACCAGTGTTCAGTCCCAGTTTATTTGCATTCACTGCTGACACAGACACCTTGTGTCATCTTCAAGACTCTTGGGTATTCTACTTGGCCTCACCCTGAAGCTCCAGCAGGAGCAGATCTGTCTTAGGTGCTGTGACAAAACTGCCAGCCAGCACAGACATCTCATATACTCTTCAGCCTCTCAAACAGCAGCAGGCATCTATGTTTTTGCAATGCGTTAGTGCTCATATGCAAGCAGCTGCTATACACTATAGTACAAGTAAACCCCATATAGGAAAATTGGGTAAGAAAAACAAAATGCCAACATGCCACTTGCCGAAAGATTTCTGCACACGAATATCTGCTTTGCAAGAAGTGACTTCCCAAGTTGCAGAAATTCTGTGTCATCCGGTATTCCAAGCAACAATTATTTCTCTGTGAAAGGCTTTCCCTTGGATAGTGTGATTGTTGCTAGAAAGTAGAGTTTCTTAATTTTTTTTAAACCGAACACCAAATACAGATCCTTTTCTTTGTATGTATATGTATTTACTTAGCCAAAAAGCATTTCTAATCTCATATCAATTTGACCCATGATTTAATTCAGACTGTCCTCTCTCTATTTACTGATGGCAATGATCCTCTTAGCTGAAGGACAAGATTGCACAACATTTAAGCCACATGACAAAATGTCACAGACAGACTAAAATCCAGCAGCTGGAAAGAGAACCATCATGTCACTTCTGGCCAACAGAGAGTAGTCAGAGCCCTCCACTTTAATTGAGCTGGAATGGAAAGTTCCTATATTTGGCTCTTATTTCCCCTTTCTAGCCCAACACTGTGACATGGAGAGATTTCATGGGTGAGCAGCAGTAGCTATAGTGAGGAAAACTGAATCACTTCCAGGAGAGAAAATGAAAAAAAAAGGGTCACAAATCTGAACAAAACAGCAGGCAGGGGAAGGCAGACAGAATTATAGGTGATGATAATTGCAAGATAGTCAATAACAAATGATGTCAGCAGTATAAAGCTACGTTATTCAGATACTTCTTTACTATGTCCCATACTCAGGAACATAGGACTTGCCAAGCTGTATTAGTATAGTCATCTATCTAGACCAGCTTCCTGTCACTGGGAGTAGTAAGTTACACATACTTTGGAGGAAAGCACAAAAACCCAACCATTATGAGGTTGCAGGCTTGCCAGGACAAGTGGAATCTAAATACAAAGTGTGCTTGTAGTGTACGCCTGACTTAGTTTAACTTTTGTATCACAAGAACAAGTTTGGTGTTTTTTTTTCTCTCCATGAATACTCTATGGCTCAATGACTGCAAGGTGACTTGATGGATGGAAGGCACGAGAAAAGTTGTTTTGCTTTCTTTGCAAATCACATTTAATAGTTTAAGTTCCAAGTTTGTACTGGTTTACATGATGTATCTCCAAAATATCTGTTCTAGGTGGTAGCTGGATGGAATTATGCAATTAAATATGAAATTGAGGAGACTAATTGCTCCAAAGACCAATTTCAAGATTTAACTCCAGAGTGCAAAACCACTTCCAGAGGTGTAAGTAATCTTCAAAATTTATTAATTGAGAAAATGTCATATTAACAAATAATCATTAATATCTGGCTCAAGAAAATATTTACAGTCTTGCTTCACTTTGTGAATGAAGTTTAAATCCAGGCTTGTAGATAGGTGTCTATTTATGCAATTAAAACACCTGTCTTCTCCTGAATTGGTTACTAAGATGACCACTGAAATGCTTACAGATTACAGAATCTAAAAAGTCTCACCCAGACAATAATTCCCTTGAGAAGCTCTTATCCAGATATTCGAGGAGTTACTCAGGTACAACCCCAAACCCAATAATTAAAATAAGCGCTATTATTCCAGTTTAAGACATATTTTCAAAGAAAAGTAAGTAGCTGAATTACCACTTTACCCCTACCATAGTCCAAATAAAAGAGCTTCAAAAGACAATTATTAACAAACATACATACACTAGCTAAACAGTATTGCAAAACCAGGTATTTCCTCTGATCTGGAACAGAATTAACTGTCTCTCAATGAATGAAGAAAAGTGCTTCTGCAAATAGAGGGCAGGAACACGAATAGTAATGAACAGTGGTGGCAAATGGGAGGGGAGGAACCACAGAAGTCCCAACTCACATCTGCTTCAGCTGTTGTGGAAGTGCACTGTTAAGTGTTACATTCAAGAGCCTCTCTTGCTCAAAACTTACTCCTTGGATGTCTCAAGAATGCTTTGGCATGTTTCAGAGGCATTGATCAAAAAAGGAAAGAATGACAACCCTGGTAAATAATAGAAGAGTTAGAATCAAACTAGGTAAAGCAAATCTTTTCATTACCCACACTTGCCCTTAAACCTTAAGCAAGTTACTTAATCTGCTTGAGCCTGAATTTTCCAGCCTGTCACCTAGAGGTAATGACTTCTGCCACCTCACCTAATGCAGGAGTGCTACCTCATTCACATAGTGCTTTGATCACACAGGGTTAGTGGGATTAGATTTTTATCGCTTATCCCCTGAACTGCTAAGAAGCCTTGTTAATAGATCATCAGCAGATATTATTAGAATATATATTCCAAGAATATTCCATACATTGGAATGACCAAATTCCATGGAAGTTGTTTCATACCTTTATTTAGCTCTGTACTACTCATTTTGAAATGGGAGGATACAGGGAGCACCCTGTACCTGACATACATGTGAACCACAGAAGTACTTCAGTGGAGCATAATATCGTTCTCTTTAACCTGGACAATAAGCCTTGATATTAGTTTTTATTATTTTTTCTAAACCAACAGCTAAGCAGATTTTTTTATGGATGCTTTGAAAACAGTGTCTGTCAGAGCCCTAAGATTTTATTCTACGATTGATTAGTTTCTTTTAGAGTCTTTGATAAGAGACTTCACTGAAACCTTTCTTAAAATCTACATATACTTTATCAACAGGTCTCTTGACCCACTTTTCTTGATACTTTTGAAGAACTTCGATAAATCTGCAAAATATGACTTCTGTTTACTACAGAAACCTGGGTCTCTCCTTGATGTATTCATGCCCTCTAATTCTTTTCTTATAACTATTTCTAATCGCTGGAATGGTACAGACATCAGTTCTATGGGTTTATAACCTTTTTAAAACAGAACTGGATCGATATCTGCTTTCTTCCAGCTCTAAAATACCAAGACAACTTTAAGCAAGCCGTCTACCATGGTTTCTTTAAAACACCTGAGTAAATACAAGAAACTTAATAATGTTTGAATCTTTTTGGTCTTCACAGTTTGAGACAAAAAAGCCAATGAGTTCTCCATTAAACAGGATTCTGGCTTGTAAACCTCCCTGTTTCTTTCTGTAATTAACACATACAAATAGTCCATTTAGCTTCTCTTTTATGGTTTTATTTTCCCTGAGTGGTCCTTTTAAGCCCAAATCATTTGTTGGCTCTGCAGACTGCCTGTCAGGCTTCTTCCTCCCACTGTATTGAAGGAAGGACGGAATTATTAGTAGTATACTTGACTTAGCAGTATGCTGACTTAGAACATGAGCTTGATCATTATTTCTAAGTAACAAGCTGTTTTGTGTTTTTTACTCTAGCATGTAGGTAAATGTGATGCCAAAGCATATCAAAGTCTTCAGAAAGTGATTGTGGATATTGTAAGCCAATGCAAGCTTCCAGGTATGTCACAGGTACTATCAATTTGCCACGTTCTGCACTTTTCAATGTTTTTTTACAATTGTAAAAAGAAAGACAAAATAAAAATACAAGAGATGAAAACAGATAATAACAAAAAAGTAATTCTTCTGGGACCAGAAAAGCACTGCCTCTTAATGAAAAATGACCACAGACTTTTCACTTCCTACAAGTATTTCTTATATAGCTAAAAGTTACATTTTATCATTTGTATACTGCCCTATTTCTGTTACATGGAAGTGGCTGCTGACTGTCACTTGGAGATTAACAAACTCAATAACTATCCTACAAGAATGAATTCTTTTCCCACTACAATGACAAGGAAGTTAATATCATATTGTTTAAATAGTAGCTTCTTCTAACATTCCAAAGAATGCCAATGTATTCTTTTGAAAGCAAAAGGAGCTGCAGACTTTTAAGATTTTGTCCAAAACTGGTAATTCATCTAATGATGCTACCGTTGCTCATTTTCTATTGCATAGCTATATTTACGTTTGTTATGTTAGAGGCTTTCTTTTTTCCCCTGTAAATAAATTCCTTAGAATCTGTAAGTTCATTGCAGTCAAACTCCCAAATGGTCTTCTTATTGCTCCTTTTTCCTCCAACCATCTATTTCGACACAGGTTATCACAGCTTCAGAGCTTTACAGCAGGGTATACAGTACTACTCCGTGTAGTAAGTGATGCATTCTCACCCATTCAAACTTGTTTTCAAGAGATAATGGCATTCTTCCACACACTCATTCATTGCAATAACGTACATCTCTCATTTCAGCTGAGTCAGTTCTTTCCATATGCGTAGATGTTCCCTCTCTTTATTTGCTAGCTACCCACAATTGGTACACACCATTCTAGTTTCTGTGAGTAAATTGTTAAGCATCCAATGTGACACCAGGCGCTGATGTAGTACTCTTTTAGATAACCAACACCTGATCATGCTGATCATACAAAACTCAAATATATTTTGGTTTCATTTGATAGAGCCAAACATGAAATGTTCCAGAAGGTAGAGGTTTGTAACTTTTTTCCAGCCATTATCTAGACTGAATTTTTTGTTCCTTATATCTGAAATCTGTTGCTTTTTTTCAGTTGAAGAGACAGTAATTCCTGCCACTCAAACTGGTTGTCCAAAGACTGTCGCAAAAGACAACCCAGAACTGAAGGAACTACTGAAGGTTTCCATGGAGAAGTATAATTCAGAAAGCAATGATGATTTCTACTACAAAAGTGGAGAAATAGAAGCAGCGACAGTTCAGGTTGGGATATACCACAGGGATGAGGAACAGACATGGCAGTGTTATTGGTCTGAGCTGAATTTTAGCTAAAGTTTGTATTTCTATTTCAAATAATATTTTCCTCTGTGTGTGATAAAATGTGGTAACTGAAATATCCATGCAGTTTTCCTTGCTAAGTTTTATCCACCTTGGCTTGAATTCAGAACTGAGTTAAAAACGTCCCATCTCTTGATTTTTTTTTATATTTTTTTTAAACAACACAATTTTAAAAGCATGGAGAGAAGGTTGATTCAGACTATCTGATTTCTGTATATCTACCCCACTTTTAACCAGCCTTTTTTAACATACCATAGACTTCTAAAGTAAAAAAAGAATGATTAGATGAAACCACTTATGTGGTTTCACCACACCAATACTCTCATGTTATTTTAGATACTGTCAACACTATTCTAAGCTCCAAGAAGTGGGCTTCACAATTTCTCTGAGAAATAGGCTAATTTATATACTGATTCTGCTAATAATAATACTCCAGCTAGATTAAGTATACCTGTGCGTAACTTAAGATGTACAGATAAATACAGCTGGGTAAAGAAAAACAAGGAATTAGGAGGATAATACTGGTCAGTACTTGCCTTGTTTACAGTCCCAATGTATGAAAACAGAGGTTTAGGACAGAACTGGAAATAAGACAGTGAAGTGATTCAGAAAATACTTTGGTAACAACTTCTGAGTATGATGGTACCAGTGGAGGAGGCAGGAAAAGCACAGCAGAGCTTTTCTCAAAAGCTCACTTTATCTTACTAATAATATCAGTTCTTTTTCTTTTTTTAAACCTTTTTTCTTCATTCAGATCTTATTCTTCTTTCTCACTTTTCATATCATGGTTGATACCTGCATGCATACACTTTAAAAACACACTTAAAAGAGACAGAATTTCATGTCTTGCCTGCTATCTCTGACACAAGATATGTTATCTTGGGCTCTGTAAAAAATACTAGGAGAACTTGTATCAGGCACATTCTTGAACCTATGCAGTTTCTCTCCTTAATGCATTTGGCAAATACGTTCGTTTTCAACTGAGCCTGTTCATCACATACTTCATTTTATGCACATTCCACTTTTCTTCCATCATATCTGGGTCTCTGCAGAAGTATCTCTAATGACTTCATTTGTTATTGATGAAATTGCTATAGGCATCAACTACCAAACCTGTGGGGCTGATATTATTGTGACCTGTCTGTTTCCTTCAATTTCAATACTGGAATTTTTGAGAATGGAAATTGGAATAAAGTAAGTTGATTAGAAGCAGATAGGTTTGCCTCCAAATATTTTTATATTGTTCTTAACATATGTTGTCACAGTGGTCAGGACTTGTAGAATGTAAGGAGTATAAGCTCATAGAAAAATTTCCTGTGAACCCTTTTCAATAAAATGCCTTTACCACAGAAAGTCTTCTTGCTAATTTTCCAGGAGGTTGCAGGACAAAAATACCATGTAACATTTTCAGTCCGGAAGACAAACTGTTCAAAGACAGACTTTGAAAAAATTAATGAAGACTGTGAAGCCACATCAGACAGTGTAAGTAATGATGACTGTTGCCAACTGTAATAGTCCTCATGGACAAATTCATTTGCATTAGAACTTGTAAACAAGTAAAGTACTTAAGTACTTAAGTAAAATCACATCCTGAGTTCTCTTACCTCTTTCAGTAAACTTTTGTTTCAGCAAGCAGGACATGTTTCACTGTTTGTAACCCCAGGCAGTGTCAATGTCAATAAAAAAAGAAGCTGAAACTGAGTGACACTGAGTCACTCCAACTGCAGGATCAATGCTCATGGCAAAGCAAAAGGAACTTTCTTCTGATAATAATGAGCAAAGGAAAGGGAGGAAAGAGGCTGCTGTGAAAGGAAAGAGTTACAATACTCCTGATTCCGTGGACTTGAGAGCAGCGCTGAGGAGAAGACTTGGGGATATCGGTTGATGCGAAGCTTCAACATGAGCCAGCAGTGTGCACTAGCAGCCCAGAAAGCCAGCTATCTGCTGGGCTGTATTAAAAGGAGCGTGGCCAGAAGGTTGAGGAAGGTGATTCTCCCCCTCTACTGTACTCTCATGAGACTCCACCTAAAGTACTGTGTCCAGCTCTGGAAGACCCAACATAAAAAGGATGTGGACCTGCTGGTGCAAATCTACAGAGGGCCACAAAGATGATCTGGGGGCTGGAGCAGCTCTCCTAGGCAGACAGGCTGAAAAAGTTGGGGAGACCTTGTAACAGTCTTCTAGCACCTAAAGGGGACCTACAAATAAGGTGGAAAGGGACTTTTTACAAGGTCATGTAGTTTAAACCCAGCACAAAGGGTTTAAACTGAAAGAGGGGAGATTTGGATTAGATATCAGTAAAAAAATCTTCACTATGAGGGTGGTGGGACACTAGCACAGGTTGCCTAGAGAAGCTGTGGCTGCCCCATTCCTGGCAGTGTTCAAGGACAGGTTGGATGTGGCTTTGTGCAACTTGCTCTAGTGAAAGGTGTCCCTGCCCATGGCAGGGGGATTGAAATTAGATGAGCATTAAGGTCCCCTTCAACCCAAACCATTCTATGATTCTATGACTTGCAGCTAACGAAAACATGAAAATGGAGTGTTACTGGTGTGCAAAGGAATGATGTTTCTGGAATGCATGCTGCTGATGCCAGAAAAATGTGTTCCAGACACTGGAGAGTAATGTTGATAGGGCCAGAAACCATTGGCAAGGGATTTGGCTGGGAAAAAGAGGCTTCATTTTCCCTCTCTTTTCCCATTAAATGAGCAGTATTTACCTGTGAGAATTTAAAATCCATTACTGCAGCAGGCTCTGAATAGGAAAAAATGCTGTTCTACTTCAATTTCCCAATATTTTAGAATGAGAAATATCACCAACAAACTATATTTCTTAGGAATATCATGCAGATTAAACAGTTAGTGCTCCAAAAGTGCTGGGGATGAAATATCCAATTTTTCAAGATCCAATCTTCAATTTAAGTTAAAATTAAGTGTTCACACAGGTATTTTGTAACCTCAAAAAGTTAAGCAGATGTGTCCCAGTAAAGAAGTCTCCATTACCAGGATGCATTTCATAGATATTTGGGTGAAGTTATATTTGTATTTAAAAGTATTATTAAAAAATAATGTTTGTATTTGTTGGTTTGGTTTTTTTTTTTTGGCACAACTCTTCCTTTGTGTTTGATGCCTTAATGTGTTGGGTTTTGTTTTGTCAACAGGTACCATTGTCATGTGAAGCACAAATTCATGTGATCCCATGGGAGAATAAAATCTTTCCCCAGGTTAACTGCTCGAAAGAACGGTCAAAGGTATGACTCCTTTTCATTACCCATCATCATAAGTAGAGCATAGAACCAAGGCAGTCATTAACTTCTTTATCCATTCCAAATTAACCCATACTTTGTACCAAATATAAAGGAACACATTGTTAACAACTTCAGTAACGCCACACTCCTCCCTCTCAATCTCTAACCTCAGCAACTTGTTACACTGGAGTCAGTCTCATGACGAGACAGGGGATAACCCAGTGACTACAGAAACATAAAGGCAACAGGACAGAGAGAACATTCTGCTTGTCAACTACTCCTTTGCATTATCCAGTTAAGCTCTGAAATATCAAGCTCCAGCAGCTCCTTTGAATTATGATTCAAGGCTTAGAAATTGAGACAAAAATGTATTTGACAATGCAGTGATTATTCCCCACAGATTTCAAAAGCATCTGCAAATCTTTTCATATGAGTAGTGCATCTCCCGCCATGGGTTGTCAATTTCTGCAAGATCTTTCAGTTTCCTTTGTGCCCAGCTCCACAATTAACCAGCCCTGAACATGGGTCACTTTGAAAATTTCAGAATGAACTATAAATCTCTTTTATTATCAGAACTTTTGTAGTTCTGATGATTGCAGGTTTTTTTGATAAACGCAGGGACTCCCATACTCCACAATGAAGAAGATACTCTGAATAAAGTCAGATTGATTAACTTGTATTCATAATCAGTAGCTTCACTGTGCTCACCATCTTCATAACTACCTATTGTTTCATTATGTAGCAACAATAAATGACTCTCTGCTTTGTTTTCACTACAATATCCATATCAACTTTCAAGTTTAGCTCCATCCCAAACAACTCTGATTTGCAACTAGAGACTGCAAATGGTGGAGAGATATGAAACCCATATAGGACAGTGACTGCACATCATGCATTCAGTCTCTGCCTTCTAGTTTAAGAGGTGGGAAATAGAGATTACTCAATAACAAATGACTATTTCATAATATTTCATATTATCAACTTTAACCTATATGTATTATTTCTAAGCATTCTTATGAGATGCATATGTCAAATGTAGAAACAAAAAATTGAATAGTTACATTTCATATAACAAAACAACCCAGATCTTTTGTGCATTCTGGTATTGAGTACTCAGATACGTGTTTGTCTTTAGCACAAACTGGTTTTATACATCAGAGTGTTAAATTCTAACAAGTGCAGGGACATTTAGTCTTAAAAATCAGCTATATTGTTCATAAATTAAAACAAGTACACATTCTCCTCTCTATAGTACCATTCTCATGTTAAATTGGCAATATTTCAGTGATACTTAAGTTTTTCTTTTAACACATAACTGCTAAAATACTCTGGAGGTATTCAGGAGGATGTTTATGTTTCCACACTTATCACAGACAGAAAAGATAATTATTTAGCTTACTTTAAAATATGGTAACATATTTCTGCTAAATGATTCATATACTGCAATGACCCAACTTCTGAATCTCTCGAATCTGAAATGATCATTCTTGTTTATGTAAGAAATATGGCTATTATTGCAATGTTTTTTAGGCTGTATTACTAAGAAGGCCTCCTGGATTCACACCTTTTCGAAGACTTGTTATGCTAAATCAGCCAAATGAAATGCCGTGCTCTGATAAAAATGAAGAAGAAAAGCAAAGACCTGATAAAGAAATGGGAGAAGATGAGCAAAGACCTGATAAAGAAACAAGAGAAGATGGTGCACAGGAACCAGAAGGTGAAGGTGAACCTGAGCATAAACATGGGCATGAACATGGGCATAAACACGGGCATGAACCTGAGCATAAATACGGGCATGAACACGGGCATGAACAGGGGCATAAACATGGGCATCATCATGGGCATCATCATGGGCATCATCATGGGCATAAAAAGGATCATGAGCCTGACAGAAGGTATAAACATCAAAATGGTTGTAGGCACGGAACTGGTCATGGGTGTGGGCATAAAAAACACAGTAAAAATGGGAAACATAAACATCCAAACCCCAAATCTTCTGAGGAGTCCAATGAAAGTGGTTTTAACCAAAACAAAACCCTCCCATCACCCAGTGCTGAAACAGCATCAGAGAAAGGTAACCCAGGGGTTGCAAGAAAGGAAACCAGTACACCTGCAGAACAACTAATTCTTCCTGATACTTCTCTATTGAATGGGTTGTCAGATCGCCCAGAATCTCCTCTCCCCAGATGCCCTGGAAAACCATGGAAAGAAATTATGGACATTCCAGCTCCTTCTAGCTTTCCCAGAGAATTCACAAATGAGGATCTCTTGCCTTCTGCAGTAGAAAACAGCAATCCAGTGACAGAAATCTCCACACCTTCCCAAAATGAAATGAAAGACCTTGATCTCTCAGATGCTTTACTATAATTCAAACACTGTAGTAGCCTTTCCAGAAATTATATATAGAAAAAGAAAAAAAATATGGCCTTTCAAAATGTTTAAAATGTGAAGAGGCAAAAGCTCCTATTCTGTTAACTAAGATACCCAAGAAAGTCACCACCAGTTCTGGGGACCTAGGACCATAAGGCAATACTCTGTATTTTCATATATTTGGAAAGATGTAAGTCAGGCAATGACACCGATGCTTCAGAATCTGTCTAGTAAAGGCACCAGGCGAGTCAATAACCTTTGGCTGCAGAAGTTAAAATTGTATCTGCCTCAAATTGCTGTAAGTACAAAGTGAATCGTGGCATCAAATCTCACTGTATCATGTTTGAAAGTGTCACAAAGTATTTTGCAGATTACATGAAGACTCTTGATCAAATATGGATAAGACAAAAGCAATCTAAGGATGCCTTTCTTAGATATCTGAAATAGTATTTCTCTAATTTTCTGGAAGAAGCTTTTAAAGAACAAAATAAAACAAGTGAACTTGTTTTACCTGTCAGTTTCTTTAAATAGGTTAGTATTACCACTATTCTATCACTAGCAGTTGTTCTGTTGAATGATATAACCAGGAACAACTGGGAGAATCCTGAATAGTGCAGCTCTTTTATTCCCTATGAACATTATGCTAACTACACCGCAGAGGCACTGTGATTGACAGATCTTTCATGTGACAGAGGTGCACAAATATGACAGATGAAAAAAATGCAAACACTTTAGTTGCCTACAATTTGTCTGCCTTCTTCTATAGGTTATGTGTAATTTAGAGAATGGATTGTATTTTCTACTCTAGATATCTTCCAAAGGTTGAGTTTTTGGTGTGATATATTACCTGAAAAGCACCAAGTATTTCTGGCAACTTAAAATATGTTTTCTCTTTATGGAGCCAATGATTTATACAGCTGACACTCCCTCTCCAGCCCCCAAGAAAAGAAAAAAAAACTAAAAAAAAAACCCACCAAAACAACCAAAAAACAAACAAAACAACCTCAGAAAAAAAACTTCAACGCTAAAAAAAAACCAACCAAAACAATCAAAAGACCACATTCTTTGAAAGCACAGTGTAAGTGTTGTCCAAAAAATCCACAGAGACAGAAAATATATTCTCTGAAATTGTTCATCCTAACTGCTGGGATTGCTGTGGCATCAACACTATATACTCAACAGCTGGGAATGTGTCCTTCTTTTGTGTACTATGTGTCTATTGCCACCACCTCACTGGTTAGGAAGAACTAGACAGATGAAGACCACTTAGAGGATGCAAGAGAGAGGGATCAACAGGATCAGGAGGTTTTGGCACAAAAGATCCAGTGGGATCTTGAAAGGGAAAATAGTTATGAGAAAGGACAGAAGACACAAAAAGTGGAAAAGACAGAGCAATATGGCTGGTGTGAAAAGAACAAAAGGAACCAGCAGCTTAGTGGCAAAAATGGAAACAGAGTGAATGGGATAGAGAAGTGGATGAAAGTTTTGCTCCACGGGCAAGGAGAAAAAAAAAACAAACAAAAAACCAGGAACTGAGGAACTGGGATCATTACAGTTTTGCATGTGCAGCTTCTTTTTCTTCATTTTTTAATGACTGCATTAAAAACTACATTAAAATGATATATTTAAAAGTAATGAAATCCAAAATCAGGAACTGTCCCTGTGAGTATAAATTCAGCCTAGTTATGTGCATCTAATGTAGTGTAATTTGCTGCCATATAGGCATATGATATAATAGATAGATAGATAGATAGATAGATAGATAGATAGATAGATAGATAATTATCCGTCATGACTGGCGATATATAATCAGAACTGCTGTACATACTTTCTTTCTGAAAACAAATAACTCCTATATCTATGACTAATCAAATCCTGCATTTTTTTCTTTCATTCCTTCCCTTTCCTTGCAGGATAAAATGCAGTTGATCTTTTCTTTTTAGAAAAGACAAGTGTGACAAGTACTAAACTTACAAAGCTAGGCAAAGTACTAAACTTACAAAGCTAGGCAAAGGAAAGCCTTGAGAGTTATCTCTAGTTTGCTTCTTTTCTTTTATTTTTTCTGAATATTGACTGCTATGATTTTAGCTGTAACTGTGTATTATTTTGAGTATAAGCTCAAAACAGTTTTTCTTTAAATTACTGTAGTAATTTAAGTAATTAACACAAAATTACAATAAAAGAAGATGCAAAGATGAAAAAAAAAAGGTTTTCTTCCCATCTTTGATCTCCCTCATCTGAATGACAAGATAGTCACACTCTTGATATATTCTCCCCACTCAGCATACATACATGACCACAAGTAGTGAGACATAAACTGAGTGGTCAGAGCAGGATAACAAAAGCCAAGAGTCCTAAATTCTTGACTGCCTTGAATTTACAATGTGGTATAGTTAATGATGTGAAGATTCATTAATATTTAATACAAAGATGACAATTTCAATTTTAACTTCTTGGTTTTATAATGTAAAAGAAAGAATATCTTTTTTAAATCATTTTGGAATAAAAATCAAAAAGTGCTATAGACTAAAAAACTGGAAGAGAATAGTCTGGTATCTTTAGAATGGAACATTTCAATTTCTCATTGATGTGTTCCCACAGAAAGTTTTAATTATAACAAACCAGCGTTTTCTGATGAAAAATATACTATCAGAAAGCTACTGACCAGGCCTATTTGAGATCTGCTGCTGAAGAGCTCTGCATGAAGACCAGTTTTTCCTATTGGGGGAACAGCGCTGTAACGCTGCATCCAATGCACCGCGCTGCTTAACAAGTACTTTTTTCCTTGGCCAGCAGATGGCAGAATTTTTGCCATAAGATTTTATGCACAACGAGGGGTTTGTGATTGCCAGGAAAGGTTTAAGCAGGCTTAACACTCAGCGTTTCTTCTGGGCCAGTAACACTGTAGATAAAACCACCACGTCTGTGCAATCTCTTTTATATATTAAGCTCTATCAATAGAGCATTAAAAAAATTGCCAGTTACTTATTATGGGCAAGGTATAGAAATAATGTTCTAAGTGCAATTTCATGAATATAAAAGATAATAGCTAGTCCTGCAGCAGAAATATTGAATCCTTCTGATACAGATAATCTGAACTAAGAGGCTGGGGTATGAAAATATGTCTGAATTAAACCTCTGTTGATCATACTGCTGAGATGCAGAGACACCTGATGGCCATTCTGCAGCTGTCTGGACTTAATGTGTTCTCTCTTGTCCATTCCATCTGTGACAATGAGATAAAAATACATATTTTAATTGATGTATAAAAAATTCCTCATGTCTATTATCGAAGGCCTACTGGATTTTTGCTATAGTTCAGATATGACCTTTTAATCATACTTGGCAAATCCAACCATCCTGTAATGTGTTCACACAGTGTAACTAGCCAAGGGAGAGAGATGTGCAAGCACCTGACAACAGAAAATGTGGAGAACATTGGCATTTGATCTGATGTAAGAAACAATTTCTTCCCTTGTTTTCTCAGGTCTCTCAGCCAGCAAGCTAATACTCCCAATTTAGAAATATCAGACCTGAGGATAAAATGGGTCTAATTGCCTAGAGAATTAGAAATGACAACCCTGCCTGCCCATTGTCATATAGACAGAGCTGTACCAAATTCAGTGTACAAATTCCTCAGATACAAAAAAAAAAAAAAAAAACCACACACACACACAAAAAAAAACCAAACAAAGCAACAACAACAAAAAACAACCAAACAAAAAAACAGCGGGGATAGGTATTTTCAATTCTGTGACTAGCTACTCACACTTGACTGCTAATTCTGCTGTGTTTACATGGCTACAATTAGTATAATTCAGCTTCCACAGTTTTAGTAAAGCTTTAAGCAAAGTTAAATTGGTATAATTAATAATGCAGTGGTTCTACAGCATTCTAAAATAAGAAGGCTGCTTTAAGGAGGAAAGAGTGAAAGCTTTCCTAATTGGGTAAGGCATCTTGCTACAATGAATGCTAGTGTTACTGCTGTTACTGAACTGTTTTCAATCTGCTGCTTGATGAAAACCTGAATGTAAGTTCCAAAGGAGTAACTCCTAGCAGTATGAAGTAATAGCGATTATAAACCTGTTAGTGATTCTTTACTCTTCTGCCATGAATACTGATAGTGCTGGTCTGTGGGTTGAAGATCAGGCATTAAACTACTGGTTTCACACAGCAAAGTCCCTTTTCACACAACAGTCCCTTGCTATTTTAACTCAAAGTGAGTCACAGAGAACCAGAATTCCCCACACAATACAGAGTCATACCAAAGAAGTATATTTGTTGTAAAACTGAAGAGCTTGAACCCAAAATATCTTTTATGAGAAGTCACTGTATGAATTCAGTGGATGACTCTCCATCTTCCACCGGAAATGAAAAGATAACTATGTAAACAAAAAACAAGAAGCCCTGACCTTTTATCAAGGGAAAATTAATTTTTAACTGAAAGTTAGATTACTATAAAAAACTCGAACAGCTGGGGACAAGAATGGACAATTGTTGATTTCAAGGGGTGAACATAATGCTCACCAACAAAACAGGGGGAGCTATAGCACATTTAAAGAATGACTTACATGCCCAAGACACTATAGTTCAGTACATTGAAAAATCCACCAGATGCATGGAAAGAAATATAAACAATAAAGGAACGTTGTTTTAATTTTTTATTCTAACCCTTAAGCATGACAGCAGAATTCATTGCCATTCAATTCAATAGAAAAAAGATTAATGCCATAAAGCATCACAGAGAATTAAATCTATTATAGCTGAATTCTCTTCATTCATATGTGCCAGCTGTTCTACTAGCTGTGTATTAAGTAAAAGAGTCATAATGCTAACAAAATTAATAAAAATCAAGGGATATAATGGGTCATAGCTCAGCTTCCCTGGAATCAAGAAAATATGGGCAATATGTTTTGCAAAACAAACAAATCAGTTCCATAAAGTATTTAGAATTCAGACAATCATTTAAGCAGTCTTGTGACTGTTAAACTAAAATCTCTTCTTTGAGTGCTGAGGCCTGATTTTCAATTATGCTGAGAAGCCTGTGCTCCCATTAACTTTAAACAGCATTGCAGGTATTCAGCATTTCTAAAAATCAGGCCTTAGAGCACTCAGAAAAAGCCTATGGTGTAGAAAACTGATGTTACTTGGAAGTGACTGAGATGGACACTGAGCAGTGCAACACCTCCTTACAAGCAGAAAAAGGTAATTACAGGCAGTATCACCCATCAGTACACCCTCTTATATTTTGGAAAGTCTGGGGAACCAGTGCAGGTCCTGCCATCAACCACAACAGCACTAGTGGCTTAACAGCTTTATTCCTGGCACAAATGAAGATATTACAGTGCTCTGGATAATGTTTTGCCTTACTTCCTTACTCTCTTGACCATTCCCGCAATACAAACTAGATGGAAGAAGCAGGAAAAACAAGCATAAACTGTAAGATTGCCTCTTTCTTCAGAGTTCAGCACAAATTTATGGACAGATGAGTAGATTTATAAACAACTCTTCTACTTTGTTTAGCTTCCAAATAAGTTACTTTTTTATCATAAAACATGTCTCTTTTATCATAAGAGATGCCTCTGAAACTTTCTCTAGAGTTGGTAGATCTGTTGATTGTACCTGACAGTGTAGCATAGGAATAGTGTCAACATGAAGGTTATGCATCTGTGCTTCACTTCACACACTGGACACAATTAATCAACCAAGACATTTCCATATTAGTGCTGCTGTA